GTATCTGAGGGTTAAAAACATGTCTTTTATCATTTCTCTAAACTATATATCCCCCTAGTAGCACAGTACTTGAAACTGTGCTGTATACATTACAAAATGACTGAAGTAATCATTGTTCTTATACTAATAAAATACTTAAAAGATAGCAATTTGTCTCATTAAAAAAAAGTTTTAAAAAATGCTATAATAAATGTTATCTATACAAAAATTTTTGCACAAGTTGCAAGTAAATTAAATGCTCAATAAAATGCAAAAATATAATTTTAAGTCTCAAAAACTACATGCTTCTTTGGTAGAAAAACATAAAAAATGGTAAGTTATCGAAAGAACCTTTCATTGTTTTTGTTTTTGTTGTAAACATTGTTCTATATTCTATGGAAACACAGAAAAAAGTAAAGTATCTATTGCTTGTCTTTTATAAGAAATGGTTAGTGCTGTACCCAGTTTTATACACAAAAAATATTTTCCTCAAAAGTTTAGTCCACTAAATTTACACATATGCTTATAGGTAGGTTTACATCTAAGCCTGTGTTAGATGCATTATGAAAACTCATTATTTATAGGCATCCTGGAGATAATCCTTTTTTAAGCATCCCCTTGGGATAAGTGACTTACATGTTTTAGAAATTCAAATTTTCCTATGCTTTCTTCAGAAAGGAGTAACAACAAAGAAAAAATATATATTACTTAATATTATAAATTATGATCAAAATCAATTAGCCTTTTTTCTTATTCATAAGCTTTAAAAAAGAGTTTCATTCCTAAATGATTATTTTTTCACATAAACTTATCTCTTTGCAATACTCATAGCTATATTATTTGAAATTTTTTAGTCAGGAAGATAACCAGGACAATAAATGGCTGTTTTATATCTTTGGCTTCATTTTAGCCTTCCTATATTCATACCCTAGAGGGTCCAGATTTTTATCCATAAAGTGATTATCATGGTCTAGGACTGAATCAGATTTGTAACAAACGTCCACTGGGATCCTTTGACCTATCATCGATGGGCAGAGCCAATATATGTCTTCTAGCTCCCTGAATCCTTGACCTTACCTCAGAGACTTCCACAACGCTATATGGTTAGCTTTCTTTCACAAATGGTGAAACGAATGAAAAATGATTTCAGAATAGAAAAATGGAAACCCAAGTAATTATACAGTGTCTAAAAGCTGCCCAGTATCTATCATCTTAGCACCTACACAAACATGCTAACATATGTACAATAATGGACATTCTTCTTGAAGGTTTTGAATTTCATTCTGTCTAATTTTATCTGATTACTTACAGGCACCCTTTATATTAACACTGTCTTACACTCAGCCACACAATAGCCTAAAACTTCTAACAGAGATCTGCAAGAGTCTAGAAATTATCATTATTTACCTATCGTTTGTTTTTAATTTTCCAGAGGGAAAAAAAAATCATAAAGCTAATAAAATGAAATTTAAAATAAGAAATTTTTTCTAAATACTACCATATCAAAATGAAAATCTGATAGCAGCCATGCAATCATTTAGAAATAAAATACAGACTTTTTTTTTTCTTTAAAAGTAATTTAGCATGTTATTTTCTCCCTTTTTGCTGTTGGTCTGAAAAATATATTTCCCCTCACAAAATAAATAAATAAATAAATAAAAAGTGTTTCCAAAGAGAGAAGAAAAAATTACAAAATATAAAATGTTTTTGCTACAAGCTATACAGAAATCTGTCACCACTTATGTTACCATTCTAGTCATCAATAAGTTATTTGGGTTTTTTTCCCCAACCTTCCATTCAAAAATCAATTATATCAACTCTTTTGTATAGAGAAGCAGCACACCTTTCAGGCAACTAGTATTAATGAGTAGACATGACTATAGAATCTCCATCTGTTTCTCTGACAAAGCTGTGGCTACTCTAGTCTCTCATTGAAATTCCATTAATCTGGTGTACCAAGGTCCAATACGAAAATCAAAACTCCATCTAACCCTTTATCAGCTCACAATAACCTACAAGTGAACTCTGCCTGTTAGCATGCAGCAAGTTATGATTTTGCTATCAATCAGGCAGTTGGCCAATAAAGAAAAAGGGGGGGGGCAGGCTGGAAACAGTGCGTCTGGCAGGATTTAGAGACTTTGTTTTTGTTTTCTGTTTTCATCCCTTTTCAGTTTCTATAGGGTGTCTGGACTTTGTTGAGATTATGCATTATTTTCCTTGGCTGCAATTTAATTGCTACCAGCAATCAAGTCGAAGCATCACTGAAGTGTGCCTGAATTTCATTAGAAGATATAACTTATGCTACTTTCCTACAGTACCTAATAAACCATAAAGAAACCAAAACACATATGGCTTGAGGGAATAACTGGAAAATTAGGTGGCCATTTGGGAACTGAGTGAACTTTTGAACCAGAGGAACAGAGAAAAAGAAATATTAAAGGGAAAGACAGATTTAGAATGCACACAGAGATGTGCAGGTTTGACCTTTTCAGTACCTTGAGAATTACATTAGCATTATGAAAAATACATATCATGTTTGGAGTTTATAATCCATCAAAGTTGAGATACTTTGTTAGTGCCTACCATAAGGTAAAAGTCAAAAGGACAAAACAACAATCTGATTTGACAAAGGCCTTTTGGTGACCTGTGGTAATTTGGTTATACTTATTTTAAATGTATTATCTTTTTATAATTAATACCTCATTAGTCTGAGGTCACCTAATGAAGGAAAAATTATTCAGCAAAAGGAAAGAGAATATAAAATCTCAATTGCAGGAGAAAAAACTGACATGACTAAATGATACTTTAGAGTAAAAATAAACAGCCCAAGTCAACTTTTAAAATTATTTTATAATAATATTCTTATAAGAAAATATAAAACTATCTAATGGCATTTATATACCTCAAATGAATAATGCTAAAAGTTAAATTTTCAGTCTGCTTAAGAATTGCTTATTTAAACATTAATCAAAATGTA